GGCCCCCCGCTCGGCTCTGCAACCTGGGGCCCAGCGCCCCCATCTGCAGCCCCCAGCCCCATCCCACCCAGCTTTGTGCGCACTCGCAGGCGCTGAGGCCTTACAAGGTGCTCGTTGGACTCGGGCACCAGTGCTACATCGTACTCTGAGTCAGGATTGAGGCCGACCCAGGTCCAGTGCGTGGCATTCCCCGGCAGCTGCTGGAATCTCGCCGCACTAGGTTCTGCGCTGGGCACCAGCTCTAGCACGTAGTAGCCAGAGTTGGCGGTCAGCAAGGGTGGCCAGGTCAGGCGGAAGCTGCTGGATGTGACCTCGGAGGCTCGGAGCTGCTGGGGCTGCATCGCATCTGTGGGTGGTGCAGGAGTCAGGGAAGGGAGTCCAGGCCTTTTTTTTTCAGTCCCAGGGAGGGGCCCTGACCCACCCATGGAAGACCTCAAGAGTGAGGCCCCAGGGGACAGGCAGGAGCCACTGGCAGGGAGATGCAGCAGTCAGGCCAGCCCTGGGCACACCCAGCAGAGACTGGTAACATGCGAAACAGAGACAGGGCTGGAGGGAGGACACCAGCAGGGGTGTGGTCCCTACTCCGGCCCCAAGCCCAGTCCGGTGTGGGAGGTAGCACGGCTTAGACAAAGGTACCTCAAGGGTGGCAGACCCACGGGGGCATCTGAGAACAGAAGACCAATCACCCACCCAGGTAGCTGGCACAGGGCCTTGGTCAGCTGGGCTTAGAGGGTACGTCCCGGGGATGGGAGACCATAGGGCCTCAAGGCCCTGGGGGCCGTGGAGATGTGACAATTCCAGGAGCAGCAGGAGTCCCAGGAGAGTGGCATGGGAATCTCAGAGGGGTTTCCACCTGCCCCCACCTCTTGGGGCTCCCAACAGGGCTCATCCGAAGCCTGGGACACCAAGCACTACATAGCCATCTGAGTGACCCTGCGGTGGCAGGGCTGGGGTAAAGCCATCAGGATCAGACTCTTGCTGCAGGGCTCCCACCTGAGCCGCTCTCCTGCCCATCCCCCTCCACAGGCCTCCGCACCCCCCCAGTCCCCCTCCCAGCCCGGGACCCCACCATGTGGCCTGGCTCTCCTCCCTGCCTCCTCAGGCTTTTCCTGCTCATCAGCCTTTTCTCCTCTGCCCCTCCAGGCTCAGTTCACTGGCCCGGGGGCCACTGGCGTCTGCGTCCCTGGAGAAGTCTTGGGGAGGCCCCTCGGCCCCTCTCCAGCTCATGGCCCCACCCCTTCCAGCTCTGGGTGGATGATTAACCCACAGGCGACTTGGTAGGAACCTCAGGGTTAGTGGCCTTTCTCAGTGGCAGCAGCAGGCCAGCTGGTGATCGGGTGCTTGAACCCCAGCTCTTCCCCCTTGGGGGCCTGCCGGGGCAGGGGGCTCCAGAGAAAAGCTGGTGGGGGCTGGTCAGCCCCAGCAGTGATGCCCGGGTCCAGCCTCTCCCCTGCGGCTCCCAGCAGGGCTCCCCAGCCTGCCTCCCCGTATCTACCGAGGATGGCGCCCCTCAGCGTGTGGAGGATGATGTGGAGGTCGTCCACGTCTACAAAGTGCAGATGCTGCTCCGCCGGGGCTGATGCGGCAGCCGACAGCTCCAGGAGGCTGCCGCGGCCCGTGCTGACAATGAAGACGGTGACGCCCAGGTCCTTGAGCTCCTGCATGGGGGGCCCCACGGGGTCGCTGGAGCCACCATCTGTCACCCACACCAGCACCTTGGGCACTCCTGGCCGGGCACCTGCCGCCTCAGCAAACAGCTGCTCCTTGGCATAGGCCAGCGCCAGGCCGGTGTTGGTGTCACCCATGCGCTGGGCCGCGGCATGGACGGCATCCTGGACGGCCTCGCCTGAGCTGTGCTGGCTGAAGGGGAACTCGGTGTGTGGCTGGCTGCCCACATGCACCAGGCTGGCACGCAGGGCCCCGGGGCCCAGGGGCAGTGGAGCCACCAGTTGCCCCACAAACTCCCGAACCCGGGAGAACTCGTAGTGAGACACGCTGGCTGAGCTGTCCAGCAGGAAGAGCAGGTCCCCTTGGGGGGCTGACGCTGGGGGCCCTGGGGAGAGATGAGTGTTCAGTTCCAGGTGGTGGGACCCTGGCAGCCACATGCTGGAGCGGAGCCCCCAGAGCCCCACGCCAGACTCCCCGAGAGCCCAAAGCAGAGGAAGACCCCCCTAGAGCCCCACGCCGGGGCAGACTCCCCAAGAGCCCCATGCAGGGGAAGACCCGCAGAGCCCCACGCCCGGCAGACTCCAGGGCTCGAGTTTCCTGAAGTGGTGCTTGCCCGCACCCAGAGGCCCCAGATGGGGAAGAGGGGGATTCCCGGGCTCCGGGGGAGTGGGGGACATGGGTTCCCAAGGCCCAAGCAACACACTCTTGGGGTTCCAGTGCTGCACGCCGGCCACATGGCCTGGGACTCTCCCTGGGCGCTTATCCAAGCCCCCATAGCCCCCCTTCAGCAGAGCCTGGCCTTGGCCCCCAGGAGCAGCCTGAGCCATGAGGGCTCCTGCCTTCAGGCTGGGCTTTCAGAGGAGCAGCCTCGAGGCTGGAGTCGGCTGTGCAGCTTAGCCTCCAAGTGAGGCGGCCAGCCCAGGCATCCCCAGCAGCAGGGGAGGCGAGGCGGAGGGATGGAGAACAGGCAGAGCAACCTACACAGTCCCTCAGCCCAGCAGCCCAGCAGCCAGACTGGAGTCTTGACCCCACATACGGATGATGTCACCCTCCCCTGGCCCATCCTCCCATCCATCTGGACTCAAAAAGCAGGATACATCCCCGGAGCCTGGGGGCCCGACCAGCCCCTGGCAGGCCTCTCCCTCCCCCAGCACGGGGCTGGGGGGGCCGGGGGGGCTCTGGATGACCCGACTCTGGTCCCGGGTGTGTGGCTTCCTGCATCCAGCGGGGTGACTCGAACCCTCCTACCCTCCACTTAGGGCCATTTCAAGAGTAGGGAAACTGAGGCAGGGGCAGCCTCACCGAGAGACGTCTTCCGCTTCCCTCCCGGCCCCGCGAGCCTGGGAGACGCAGGCGGGGCGGAGCGCCCGGGCGCGC